TATAAAAACTGTTGTTCCCATCCCGCCTGTCAGACGAGCCAACTGTGGCTGTGTGTGGTATCTATCTTCATTAGTAGACTTTTGAAAGGCTGTAATATTGACAAAGATAAATATAAACGAAACTGAATAAGTATAGTAGCTTAGGGCATTTTTTTTATTGGATAAGGGTAACAAATGATCACAGAATCCGCCTGATGGTAAGTGGTTGCCGTGGCCCATAGACATCCACATTTATCGTGAACCATGAATCAAAATGCAGATGTGTTGTCACACGTGAGGACTAAGAAGGAACGCCTCGTTTCCAGTAAAAAGGGTCTCCGGTTCTCTACACTCACCATACGAAACACAGCAGCGTTAAGCTGCTATTTCCATAAGCACTTTCGTTAAAATTTCAAAGTGCTCACGTGAGTAACCGCAAATGCGAGTTAGTTAGTTAGTTGGCGGCAGAAATAGCAAGAAGGTAGTAACGACCCACGCAGAACGAATCGCAGACAGAGAAGGAGTCCAACTACAAATAAATCATCAGTCAATGGAAAAGGCGGCTGGGTAGTACTTCCTGCTAGGGATTCCATAATTAATAAAATCTTCAAGCCCAAAACATACAACTGCAAGACTTCAAAACACAGCTCATTCTACGTAAATCGGACCAAAATTACTAATTAAAATTTAAAGATACGAGCTCCGTGTTAACTATGACATCGGAACGTCCAACACTTCAGTTCGCCGCGTGATCATGGAAACTGCAAAGCACTCAAAACTTCGGGAGTTAAAAACAAGTTGAATTAAGCGCGATAAAACCCGTAGAAGTAGTTTTATTTAAAGTTAAACTTTATATAAACAATTAAAAAAAAACATCACATAAACGAGATGGCAATACCGCTATATATCACATATATATATATATATTTTATTTCTTTTTGTAATATCCTCTTATGTCACCACCATCATATAGCAAATTGTCGTGTAAGTTTGACTGCCTCGATGGTCTAGAGGTGGTAAACGAGATCGCCTATCTTGAGGTCCCGGGTGTGAATCCTAGGTCTAGCCAAAATTAGTTACTGTGTTTTTCTGTCAATTAATTCTCAACAGCAGCCTGGAGGCAGGGATTTAGTTCATCCCCGCGCCTCGGATAGCATGTACAGTTGGTCTTGCCTGATCTCTCTCCGGTCGTGTCGGATTACCGTTCCATAGGAGTATGAGATTGAAGGAATAGTGAGTGACCCATGTGGTCATTGTGGTAAATAAAAAAATGACTTTCAATAAGTATTATGTAATAATCTGTATTGAATAAAAAATATATCTATCCTATTCTATTCTTTTTTTTTATAGGATAAGGGTGACAAACGAGCACACAGTCCACCTGATGGTAAGTGGTTGCTGTGGCCCATAGACATCTACATCTATCCTCTATTACAAATCAAAATGTAGATGCGTTGTCACCCGTGAGGACTAAGATGGAATGCCTCATTTCGAGTAAAAAGGGCATCCGGCCACCTGCACTCACCAAGCGAAACGCAGAGGTAAACCTCTACTTCACGCTGGTCTTCTGTGAGGTCGTGGTACCACCCCGGTTCGAGCCGGCCCATCCGTGCGACAGCAAAAGCTGCCGCGTGGCTCTACCACTGTTAAAAATTCTGGACCCTTTACTGCGCAGATGGCTTCTCTCCGATGAGATTGATCGCCGTGATCGAAATTCGGAAAGGAGGATACTATTATTATTATAGCAAATTGTCGGTATTATATCTTATTCCAAGAATAATTTAAGTTCAAAAGCGTTAAATTAAATGAAACACGACGAAATTATACGTAAATTATTATGACACTTATAGCATAAAATTTGGGCCGATTATACGAATTATCTTGCGCGCGCATTTGGTGGTTGTCAAATTAATGCTATCAATAAAACATTGCAGAGAGGGCTAACGGTTGCCAGTAAGAATAATGCGAGCATTGTGTACAGAAATGACATTTTTTTAAATTTAGAAGTATGATATTTGAGGAGAGCAGCAGTAGCTAAGTGCCAGGGTTTTCTAAATTGTGCAAATTGAACATAAGTATAATTGCTATTTGAAGACAGAAATGCGAAACACAATGATTAACTCGATAAAAAATCATCACACTAAAAGGCTATTAAAACATAAGATACAAGCCAGCCAATTCAATGTGGAGTTGCGCGTGAGATTAATTGCTCAAAATCTTTTTCATTGTATATAATCTCGCGGTCTTGTACGCCGCCAGCCCTGAATTAGATGATGCTGTAAAATCCAAAAGGCTTACATCACTAACATCTCGTAAAAAGATGAACCACATTTCTAGTTTTTAAAAAAGTTTGTAATATCCGAAACCTTTTAACATGTGTCCCATCTACATTAAAGTAGCGTGTTTACATATTATAAACGGCACAATAGAGTTGTATTCTAATGAGTTGCGCCCACGCATACCAACTTTACCAGGCCGTCGATTTGTCGTATGGTACAATATACAGAAAACAAGTAGCCGAGTTGTACCACAGTGCTAGTTTCTCTGGTGCGATCAATCATTATTAGCTTACCGTGCTTTGTTGCGTTGAAGTTGCTCGTTATAAAGTGACAGAATGTAAACGATATAAACCAAACGTTGGTATTACTGCTTACGACTGCAAATTATTTTTTTTTCTGCATATACATACTGGCCGAGAAGAAACTGCACGCTAAAGAAAATATACATACATAAACATAAAAAAAGAAAAAAAAACAAAAACAAAACAACTGACGCTTTCGGTTGCGGTTGCGTTCATATTCACATAATATTTTAATATAATATTTCAATAAAACAAATTCAATTTATAAAAAACATTAACTTTTGTAAAACAATGCTGTATGTTTTGGATTTACATAATACATATATCATCATCCTATCGAGTTACAGTTTTATTGAAGTCCTAATAGTTGGACTGAACACATTCTCAATGCAAAAATATTAGCAAAATATTTTTGCAAACCACGCCAATTAGTTGCATTACATTACATATGAGGTTTGTACTAGAGGACAGTGCAGAGGAATGATCGAATAACGAATTTGAAATCACGTAGTATTAGATGCGCATACTTCAAACAATTAAGCTGCTGTCGCTAGATATTTTGCGTAAATGTCGTCTCAGTCATGTTTTAAATCAATACTTAATACGCGGCTTATTTGGTAGAGCCACGCTATATTATGGTTGTACCACGAATGGGTCGGGTCGACAGGGGTAATACCACGCTCCTACAGAATACCAGCGTGTATTTCATTTGCTGAGTGTAGAAAACCGGAGAAACTTTTTACTAGACACGAAGCATTCCATCTTATTTCTCAAGGGTAACAACACATCTTCATTTTGATTCTTAATTAAGGATAAATGTAGATACATATGAGCTACGGCGTCCACTTACCATCAGGTGGACTGTGTGCCCGTTTATCACCCTTACTCTAAAAAAACACACGTCGACTTTCAGTGAGGATCGAAACTCGAAAGAAAAGGTTATTAAGGAGTTACCATGGATTGAATTGTTACTAACTTATAAATACATCGTATTCATACGTCGTTCGCTGTTTAATGGTAACGTAAGAGAATCCACTTCTATATTCCGTGGTTATCGTAAGGTCGACAGAGGGAAACTGTAACAGTGAACTTCAGGACTCAAAATATTAAAAAAATCCGCATTTGTTAGCCCGTTTACCAATCACGAAAAATATGGTAAATAAAGGAGATATTTGGCATTATGCAATATATGATATATTATGGGAAAAAATGCTTATGTTCGGCAGTGGCCTTTGGTAAACTATAATCTTGAAGATAATGATGAAATACGTTAACTATATTTCAACATTTAAATAAAGAAGGAGATCGTAATAAACTTCTTACTATGTTAACGCATCTCAGATTGGAAAGATTTTCCGTAATGACTCTCAGAACGCTGTATCAGGTACTTCTTACGTCATAGCTCTGGGTACGGCAATTTATTTGTATTGATTGGACGCACAAGTTTTTTGATAAATCTCTTTGACAATTTTTACGGCATGATGGAATGAAAGAGAGATCGACTTCTTTGCACAATCTTATATAAAATGATTAAGACTTTCTATTGTTATAACTATTTGTAAAGTTATTGACCAAGGAACTCAAGTGGATCCTAAGAGATGGGTTTGTACAAAACAAAACAAATTGAAATCAACATTCCTTATCCGTTTGTACAACTTATTACTTAGACCATTCATAAGCTAAACTTAAAAGCTAGTAAGCTGTTGCATTGTTGCCAGCAGTTTACTAGTTTTAAAATACTTATATGTACCATATATCAGCCACTCAAAGAATCGTTTCTAAATAGATTTTTTGCAGTTATCATAATATATATCGACGGTGAAGTGCCAATACCTCCTATCTGACATTTTTCGAGAAATTCACTTTTTTATACATTTAAATTTAAGGTTCGAATTCGCATGTCTTAGTAAAACCTCTGAGCTGATTTTTTAACTGTAACGAGATTTATCACAATCTAGTAATACCTTCTAACTAAATCATCGTATCAATTTTATGGCATTACCTCCTAACTTCTAAAAGACTCGTCTATACGTGATCGTAGTTTGGTTCTGAGTGACAAATTAGGACTTCTTCTGTGGCGGTGTACATACCGCACGGTGGGCGAATGAGGGAGGGGTGGAAGAACGGTCGTACAGTTTGAAAAGTCAGTTGGCAGTAATTCCTATTGCGACAAGTTATAGTTTTAACTACGAGTGCCGGAATTATTAAATAAAATATTTTGTTAATGGTGTTAGTAACGTATTGATAAGGTCTAAAGTATAACAGGTAAGAAAAATAAATATATTTTACTATAGGGATAAATAATTTATTCATTTAATTGTAATTATTAAACATTTTATTTATTTTTTTGTTGTAGATAGGATATATTTCTCTTACTTCTTTATTTTGTTGATGTAATTAGGAGGTATCGTTTTACTAATATTTCAGTATAATGTCGCGAATGGCAAAGCGTTATCAGGGAGTTCGAGCTGGACAAATATTAAACATACTTAGAGGACTTGCGGAGAAAACGCAGCTTCAAAAATCTTCTTCTAACTCATGTAAGTTTTTTTTTAACTGAACTATAATTTCTGTGACAGGCAAATTCTAGGTTTGACTCTGAGGAATTATAGGATTTTTCGTGTTCCAATGTTTTTGTTATCACTGTTTATCATCTTTTCAGATATACCTGAGCAATTGTTACCTGAAAAGAAAACAAAAGCCTCTACGAATGATTGCCTAAGACCAAAGAAGAGATGTAAAATTACTAAATCGTATTCACTTTCAAACATACCAAAGAGTAACCATTTAATGATACAACGACGTTGTTCTTCAGTTCCACCTACAATTACAGTACATTATCGAAAACAAAATGGTTTTGATATTTATAGTGATATTTGTTCTGTTGATAGAGGACGTAGTGTATCGATGTCGGCTCTCACATGCGATGATACCAAAGAATCCGGTAGGAAAAGATGTTCCTCAGTTCCACCTTCATATTTCAGTAATAATGAAAATACTGCGTTTATAGAACCTGAACCTTTTAACCTAATAGACGAAACTAGCTCCTACGATGGTGACTATTCGGGCGATGACACTGACGTAACTTATTGTCCCTCAGACACTGATCAAGCTTCGAGCAATTCTAGTTCGCAGTTACTTTTAGATGAACCGTCCACATCATCGGGTATCTACCACGGTAATACGAACGAAGGAAGAAAACGCCAAATTAAAGGCGATTCAAATAATTGGAGGAAAATAAAAAATAAGAAGCTTCGTATGTTAGGACAGGAATATCTGGGATACTCAAAGCCAAAAAATGGTAAACTCAAACAGGACAGAGTAAGAACTGCTAGACAATTAGGCGATAGATGCTATTCGCAGTTTTGCAGAAAGAGTAAAGTGCGAAATTGCGAAAAATTTGATCATGAAAGGCGTTATGAGATACACAATAGTTTCTGGAAAAATATGAATTGGGACCAGCGCAAAGTGTATGTAACCGGACTTGTAACCCGTAAAGAAACGACACGCAAAACAAGTGGCCAAGCATCGAGGCGAGAAGGTACGTTTGACTATTTTTTGCCAATAAACGAATACCAAAATTTACAGGTTTGCAGAACCACATTTTTGAATGTCTTGGTTCGTACACCGTGCAATCTTGGGTTAAAAAGTCGCGTAATAGAGTAATTCCTTGTCAAGAAGTTCAAAACCTGGCCAGGGTTAAAACGCCACGATCTGGAACTCTGCGAAAAATTCTAACCGCACATAGCTTTTTAGATAACATTCCTAAGCTACCGTCTCACTATGCGAGAAAAGACTCGTCAAAATTATATTTAGAACCAATTTACCGTTCTCTGAATGATTTATATAGACAATATAAAGAACACTGTACTCAAAACGAAGAGCCTGTGCTTTCTCGTTTCACATTCCAGAAACTCTTTCACGATAAAAATCTATCTTTATACACGTTGAAAAAGGACATGTGCGACATTTGCAGTGGACATGCAGTAGGAAACATTAATACAGCCGATTATGAACAACATATTAGACGCAAAAATAGAGCTAGGCAAGAGAAAGAAACCGATAAAAAGAAAGCTACATCTGGTGAATTCATTTTGCTGTCTATGGATTTAGAGTCCGTCAAAGTATGTCCTTATCTAACTGCTAGTGCCCTTTACTTTAAGACAAAACTTACCTGTCATAATTTTACAATTTATGACCTGGTTACCCATCAAGCCTCCTGTTATTGGTTTGATGAAACGTGCGCAGATCTAACTGCTAGCACTTTTACATCTTTTGTATGCGATTACCTAGAGAGATATTGTTTGCCCAAACGATTACCCATAGTTATTTACTCAGATGGATGCACCTATCAAAATAGGAATAATATCATGGCAAATGCTTTGTTAAACATGAGTATTGAACACGAAGTATCTATCACACAGAAGTACTTAGAGCCTGGTCATACTCAAATGGAGTGTGACTCAACACATGCTGCAATTGAAAGAAAGTTGAAAAATAGGGAGATACATCTTCCCAGTGACTATATTACTGTGACGAAGGAGGCACGAATAAACCCTGCTCCTTATGAAGCTATTATGATCTATTATGATTTTGTTAAGGATTATAGCAATAAATCGACGTGGAGGTACAGTAGCATAAGACCGGGTCGAAAAGCTGGAGACCCTCTTGTTGTTGATCTGCGAGTCATCCAGTATAGACCAGAAGGCACTATTTTCTTCAAAATTAACTTTGATGATGATTGGTCAGAACTACCTGTAAGACCGAGAAAACTAAATTCAATACAGTATACACCTTTGCATGCCGCACCAATTCCTATAGCTTCTTCTAAATTCAACCATCTTCAACAGTTAAAAGAAGTATTACCAAGAGATTGCCACTTGTTCTATGATACTTTACCTCATGAGTGATCTTTTAAAAACTTTTTATTAGATTGTCATTTGATTGCATACATACTTTAGAATTACCTACATTGTATTCCTTACATTCAAACCAATTGGATAAGATTGTTTTTGTTAGACGTCATGAAAATTGTCTGATTATAAACAAAATAAAGAATCTGATTCAAAATATTTAACGTATTTGTTAAAGCCATTACCATCTAAGTGTCTTAATTTATTACAAAAAATAAATAAATGTAAAGCAAATACCTCCTAACTAACCGAATACGTACAACACTATCGTATAATATATTGAAATATAATTAGAAACAAAGAATTAATTATTATTATTCATAATAAATAAACATAATCATCAATTTCAAATTAATTAAAAAATGAAACGTTTTTTTCGCTTTGTGTAAAATTCTAACTTCAGCAGTTAGAAGATATTGGCACTTCACCGTCGATATATACATTGGTAATAAAGATAATATACATTAATTTTATTACACATTGTTGATAAAATGGTATTTACGGACGTCTGCAGGATCTATTTATATCTACCTCACCGTTACATCAGATTTTTTAAACCTACAAACTCTCGTAAAAGAACACTTAATTCTACTAAGCGTGACGTCTATATATATACAATACTGTATACGTGTATACACGTAAATAACTCCTTTTTGTGGTAGAGTCATGCTGCAGCTATATTATGGTTGTAGCACTAATGCGTCGGCTAGACCGGGGAATCGTCATGGTTTTCATGCGGATTTCCAGTCGCAGTACCAGACGTCTCGCATCTTTGACACTGCCAGAGTCATCGTGTGCATCACGTTTACTGAAATGGTGAAAAAGATCACCTAATTCCCTTTAATACAGTTATGGAACTTCGTGTCTCTCGATTTTCTAACAGGCAAACAAAATAAACGTCCTAAAATAATGATTTTCCAATAATTTTGTTACGCAACCTCCCGCTGGATTAGTGTCGGTTCAAGTATTTCACGCCTCCTAACTTGGTGACTGCATCGTGCGCCACAGTTGTTTTATAGGGCAAGTGACGTAACGTGTCAGATTTAGCGGTTACATCGACTTGGCTGTCTCTAATTGATTCTTTGCTCGCGTCTCGCTCATGGCATCATGGACAATTACTCGGAATGCCGGTTAATTGATAGATTTCATGTAGTTCGTTCAAGTGTGTTTATATTAACTTTAATATTACATTATGAAATTTTATGAAATATTTTGTGCATGGGCCTACAATAGATAAAATGTTTTAAATGAAATTATATTTAAAGGTTTTAAATTACTTATGGGATTTTTTTATAATAAGGGTGACAAACGAGCACACAGTCCACCTGATAGTAAGTGGTTGCTGTGGCCCATAGACATCTACATCTATCTTCGTTTGCGAATTAAAAAGCAGATGCGTTGTTAGCCGTGAGGACTAAGATAGAATGCCTCTTTTCCAGTAAAAAGGGTCTCCGGTTCTCTACACTAACCATACGTAACACAGCAGCATTAAGCTGCTATTTTACGCTGGTATTCTGTGAGAGCGTGGTCCGTCCCCGGTCGAGCTGACCCATTCGTGGTACAACTGTACTATTAATATAGCTGCAGCATGTCTCTATCACGTTATTGCGCGCTGAAACTAAAAACGTGCTGAATCATTGCCGTGTAGTGGCGGTGAACATCCACTACTCCATATCATCCCGTGAGTGTCCTAACAGGCGATAGTGGGAAATAAATCAGGAGATGGGAATCAGAAAGAGATCAGAAGCTGTCTAATAACGACAAAAAATAAATAGAACTGCAGTTGAAAACCCGCTTACCAAGCGTAGCAGCAATGGAAAATATCCTCCCAACGAGGGAATCTATTGGGGAGTTCTATATTCAGCAGTGGACTTTAATAGGCGGTAACGGTAATGGTTTTTTTTATTGGATAAGGGTGACAAACGAGCACCCAGTCCCCCTGATGGTAAGTGGTTGCTGTGGTCGATAGACATCTACATCTATCCTCGATTACAAATCAAAATGCAGATGCGTTGTCACCCCTGAGGACTAATATGGAATGTCTCGTTTTTAGTAAAAAGGGTTTCCGGTTCTCTACACTCACCATAGGAGACACAGCAGTGTTAAGCTGCTATTTTCCGCTGGTATTCTGTGAGAGCGTGGTCTTTTCCCCGTTCGAGCCGACCCATTCGTTCTACAACTATACCAGTAACATAGCTGCAGCATGGCTCTACCACGCTTTTTACCACGCTTCGGTAAACATGAAATTGTAAATAATTACGAAGTATTTATAAAATTCAAACGGTGGTGCAATGACATAGCTTTATGCGATTTCTCTCTGACATACCGGTAATAAAATGAATGTAAACGTTATGCCTTGAGAGATAAGGCCAGTATTAAATATCAGGATAATCTTTTACCATCACTGATCGTATAAAATAAAGCGCGACGTCATGCAGTCGTTTAACAAATCCGTTAGGTGGTCAGCTGTTAACTGCCCAATCCAATAATTGACGATCAGTTGATATGCAACTTTGCTTAGTCCTATGTGACTGTAACATACTTTGTCTACCGGCTTGGAATAATATTCGCTAACTCCTCACTGTTCCACATAACATAGGGATGGGCAAAGGGAAAAAATATATCTATAATTTTGAAACAGTATCGATATATATCGCGTGATAAATAGCGATATATCGATATATCGTCATCATTTGAATGATGTAAAGATAAGGTCCAAAATTTTATCTACTGACGGTTGGACACCGAAAAAACCGATACTTTTTAAAATATATCGAAATTGATACGAATTCGATACTCTTAAATAAATATCGATATGTCGATATATCGCGATTTAAAATATCGACGATATATATCGATATGTTTATTAAAAAATATATTTATTACCCATGCCTAACATAACATCGTTATCTTCGTCAAGTTCGCTTCACGCAACTACAACATTTTTTTTATTTATTTAAAAACTTTATTATTCTAACCAATAAAAAGGTTACAAATTGCGGACTTAATGCCAGTTAGCATTATCTGCCAGTCAACTCATGGCATGGTGAGAAATTAGAGACAGGTGACTTAAGTAACTCAATATAATAAATTTATGTAGATATAACACCTATTAAAATGAGGCTTATAAATTACACAAATGCATATGAATACAAACAAATACATAACAATCAATATATAACAATTATCCTTAATACATATACATAAATACACATATACATACATAAAACATTACACATATACATACATAAAAAATAACATTATATGAAAGTATGCGTCATAACTAAACTGAGTAGCAAACATCACCAGAATCATGTAGGTATTGAACATTTCACAGATTACCAGCGTAAAATAGCAGCTTAACGCTGCTATGTTTCGCATGGTGAGTGTAGAGAACCGGAGACCCTTTTTACTGGGAACGAGGCAATGCATTTTAGTCCTCCCGGCTGATAACGCATCTGCATTTGATTGGTAATCGAAGATAGATGTAGATGTCTATGGATCACAGTAATCATTTACCATCAGGTGGACTGTGCGCTCGTTTGTCAGCCTTATTCTAAAAAAAAAATGTGAATATTACTCACATATCGTATTTTTATAATATCGCATCAACAAACAACCTAACAGTCTGTTTGATAAGTTTTTACGTGGTAGAGCACGGAACAGCTATATTATGTTTCTAGCACGAATGGGTCGGCCCGATCAGGGAAGGATTACGTTCTCACAGAATACCAGCGTAAATTAGCAGCTTAAGGCTGTTGTGTCGCATGAAGATTACTCAGGGAGTAAAAACGAATTTTAATACAAAATCGAGGGTAGTCATAGATATTTATAAATAAATAAATAAAATAAAATATCTTTATTTCAGGCAACACAGGACCCATACAAGAATGTTAGTAACAGTGAAATGAAATATAACTTAAATTATAGTGTTAGTAATTAAATTAATTTACATAAATAATGATAACAAAATGTAAATGGAGATGTTTGATACCAGCCGCCACGAGGGTACCGGTGGGCCACAGCATTCACTTACCAATATTAGGTCCTACCTCTTTTATCACCTTTATTCTATAAAAAAGTGACGCTTAAAAAAGAAAGCATGAAGGGTTTTTCTTCTCAGTGTTACTATGTAATGCCCCTCAACCTTTGGAATATCAGTCGGCCCACTGCTACTTGTTAACAGAAATAGGTAACAAACCAATCGAATTCCTAAGTGACGAAACTTACCACCTAGGAGCCGAAATTTATTTGATAAAATGAAGTAAAAACTGTCACATAATTTTTTTCGTTATGCAACTTATTTTAAACTAGCGACTTCCCGCGACTTCGCTCGCGTGTTAGGGTTTTTATGTTTTTGCGCGGTACCCTAATTATTTTTCTAAATTAAAAGTAGCCTAAAGTAACTCCTTATGAAATCTGCTATCTGCCAGAAAAAGTCCCGTCAAAACCGGTCCAGCCGTTTCAGAGATTAGCCAGAACAAACAGACAAAAATTTTAAAAATTGTATTTTAGTTATAAGTACTGTATTTACTTTCATATGCATCTAGTAAAAAACTGAAATTTTGACATAACAAACAGGCACTTCAATTTTATTTATTTGTATAGATAAATAATCAAATGTTATATTAGCAATATATTTCGAAGGGGCTTTTACTATAATTTCTCTCGCTTGTTTTTTATTGTTCATTTTTTTATAAATTGTTATTTATAATTTAATTTGATCGTTGTACATATCTAAATCAACTGCTTACGTATCCTTTTTGTATTTAAATAATATATTAAGCTGTATTATTGAGATAACGCTTTGGAAGTGAAAGGAAAGAGTTTTTAAATAAAAAAACAAAGGTGGAACATGGCAGAAAGATAAGAATTAAATTTTCGAACGCTTGAAAAACATTGGTGTTACAGTGCGAATTTACGGCCTCGAGTTAAGAGTTCTCCTAAGTGAAGTTTTAAGAGGGCTCAGTAATTTTGCGGGTTTTAATTTCTACTTT